GTGAGTTCCTTGGTGTGGTTACAAAATGGCAGGTATTAGTTGAAAAGACAGTAACTTCCAGTGAAGCAAATCGAGCTGAAAATGCTTTCCTTCCTCCAGTTTCGTCCTGTCACTCAACTGCCTTTGATATTGAACTACTCTCTGATGAACTAACACAAATCACAGCTAACTCTGATGTTGTTAATTTAATGGCTGTAGTGATATTTCCCAGGTGGCTTTGACCACATCATCCCTTGCTTTTCATCCTTCAGCTGGTTCCTGGGTATCAAGGTAACCTTTTTGTTTCTTTTAAAATCTTCCACGCTGTTAGGTTATGCTGTAAAAAGTTCTCCACATGCACAAAGGAAGGCAGATAAATAATGGTGAGTGGAGGAGCTTGCGAAATACCCTGCCTAGCTGCCCCCAAGTCCACCACAGGAGTTCTCAGCCCATCAAATGTCCATCTCTTCACGCGTGAAGGAGTGCAGAGTCTTTAAAAAGTAATCCTCCAAAAATATTTTACAATTATTTAGAATTTATTTTAAAATGTTACAAGAAAATGTATACCAGAAGTGCAAACTATAAAAGGAAACAGTGTGGATAATTTATATTACTCTATACAATATTCTCTGTGGTAAGAAAAAGACTGGCTTAATAATAATGATCATGAAAGGAATAGCTTCAAAGATCAAATGTGCATGAATAGGGCCTGATCATTTTCCTTCTCTTTTGCTCCCAAACAAAACAACTTTAAGTCCTGCTGCCAGTGACCAGGGCATCTTTAAATTTACTGTCTTATGCAGCATTGCTAGAGATCTCTGTCTGTAGTACTAATAGCATTTTGTCCTTACTTTAATTAATATGTCTTAATTACAGAGACTGCTCTACTATGTCAAAGAGGACTTGACAAAGGAAAATACAAATTCCCACAAGGATGGCCAAAAATTATGAACAAAGTAAGTAAATGTGAATGTTCATCATGGAGAAAAGGCAGCTATGGCAGCACCCCATTGCATCCTTTCAGTCCTTAGAGGGGGCTTCTATAAAAGAGGGAGAGTGACTTATTTTACACAGGCAGACAGTTATAGGACAAGGCTGAATGGTTTAAAACTAAAAGAGGAGAGCCCAGAGAGGTTGTGGATGCCCCATCCCTAAAAGTTTTCAAGGCCAGGCTGGATGGGGCCCTGAGCAAACTGAACTAGTGATGACATCTCTGCCCGTGGCAGGGGGTTAAAACGAGATGATCTTTAAGGTCCCTTCCAACAAGCCTTTCTAGGATTCTATGTTGCCCAAGAATCTGCACAGCAGCACTTCAGTGACTGATAATTTATTTCTGTGGTTGAGCATGGCTCTCAGGATTATGTGGCTCAGGCACTGATATCCCATGAAGGAAGGAAATGACCAGAGCCGATCCAAAATCTATTGCAGTCCACTGGACAGGAGGAGAGAAGCGGAAGTAGCTCAGGATGAGACTCCAGCCTTCCTTTCTACCATCTTGAGCCCTGTCCTCACGCTAGGCATGGCCTTTTGCACTGATGTGGAGCAAAGGGGCCGCAGAGTACAGCTGCTGTTACTGCAGTACAGGAGCCGGCCAAGGCTCCATAGCCGTGCCTTGGACTGAGGGAGCCGGTTCCTGGGCAAGCAGCTCCGCGCTGATGGGCGGCCCAGCCCACGTTCGGTGTGGGACTGTCCCATTCCGGAGCTGGGACACGCTCTCTTTCCTGAAGAGAGCTACCACTTCAGGCTTCCAGCCTCGCACCGCATTTGGGCGAAACCCAGGCCGTCTCTCAAACCTTGTTTCCCGTCCTTCTCGTTCCGCGGGGCAGAGGGCGCCGGCGGCCCCCGTGGCGCTCGGCCCCGTCGCGATGGCGACCGGCGGGCGGGGCGCTCGGCAGGGCCGGGCCGTGCCCGGGGCCGGCGGGAGGGCCGGGGCAGACACAGCGCGCGGTGCGGGCCGGGCGCGGGGAGCTGAGGGGGACGCGGGTGTGAGTGGCGGCAGCGCCGGGAGGTGCCTCAGGGAGCTCTCCGGCGGGGCAGGGAGGGCTGGCGGGCGGCTGAGGCACAGGGTGACAGTGCCAGCGGGGTTTGGTGCCTGCCTGCGGGCAGCGAGGCGCTCGCCTCGGTGAGGGGTGGCCCAGAATTGTCCACAGAGCTGGTGGCGAGGGGGGCTGAGGAGAATAGTGTAAGAAACGTGAGGGAAGTGTTAGCCAGGGACAGATTGAAGGCAGAATGAATTGTTAGCCTGCTTTGGAGATTGAGAAGGGGTTACCGTGTGACTGCACCATGTTGTAGCGTTGCTGAGGAAATGGATTTTCTGTATTCTGCAACTCCGGGTGTACCGACAGATCAGGGAGCGAGAGGATGGAGCCAGTGGGCAGGGACCTGGCGGTCTTGGTCCATGGCAAGCTGGACATGTGTCAGCAGTGCCCTGGCAGCCAGGAGGGCCGAGTGTGTTCTGGGGAGCATCAGGCATCGCCAGCCGGGCACGGGAGGGGATTGTCCTGTTCTGAGCTGGGGTGGCCTCACCTTGGATATTCTGTGCAGCTTTTGGTGCCACAAGAAAGGCATTAAGCTATTGGAGAGTATCCAAAGGAGGGCCAAAGGATGGTGAAGGATCCTCAGGGCAAGCCGCATGAGGAGTGACTGGGGGCACTTGGTCTGTTCAGCCTGGTGAAGAGGAGACTGAGGGGAGACCTCATCACAGTCTGCAACTTCCTCATGAGGAGAAGCAGAGGGGCTGGTACCAATCTCCTCTCTAGTAACCAGTGAGAGGACCCAAGGGGTTGGCCTGAAGCTGAGTTCAAGACGTTTTTGGACAATGTTGTCAGGCACGTGGTGTGATTCTTGGAGTGTGCTGCATAGGGCCAGAAGTTGGACTTGATGATCCTGTGAGGTCCCTTCCAACTGTATTCTGTATTTTGTGACTATAAATGTTGGAGACTGAGGGGGTGGAGGCTTCTGGTAGTGCAGCTGCTCAATATATGGGTTTAATTGTGTCAGTGCAAGTGCTAGTTTGCATGGCATTAATGGCAATGATTGAGCTCACGAGAGTGGCGAGCTGCCATATAGGTGGGCTCTTTACAGAGTGTTTGGGAAGTCACTGTAGTTGGGTTGCAGTGTCAGGAAACTGCCTGCTCCTTCTAAGGATGCAGTGGCAGTGTAGTTATTGCTTGAGACAGTGCTGGTACTGGTAAAGGGTCAGTCAAGAGCCCCACAGTTTTACCTAGGAGAAGAAATAGATCTTTGCTTCTGCAAATGTTCTCCACTGGGTTTAAAATGTGCAGCCAATTCTCAGTCCCCTTAAATATGTTCCTCTCCCTCTCATGTGTGTGTATTTTCTAAGGTTTGCAAAATCTTTTATTGTATTATGTGTTTTTTTCACCTTGTACAGCTTGGAGGCTTTCTTGTTCCTCTCTACTTGGGAAGAATTTCATAAATACATCACCGGAGTCCATCCGTGTCTGTAGTTAAAAAAAAAAAGGCCCTAAGCCTTTGCAAAATACTTCTGCTCAAAATTTTCCGTTTTGTATTCAGTTTTAAGCAGGGAATTTGATTATCCATTTAGTGAAAAGGACAGAAACAATTTAAAGAAAACTTTAGGGAGTGCTCTAGTGATCTTCAGTTTCTGAGGAAAATCAGTCAAAACAAATGCTCAAGTGGAAATGGAATCAATAGCAGTCCAGTTAATTCTGCGCTAAAGAAGTGTGGATTATTTTTTACGCTTAACAAGTGTATCCTGCACTTGTGCATTTGGTTTGGAAATTTCAAAAGGGTCTAGGAGGAGCAAAGTATCTAACTTCCTGCCTCAGTGAGATTTTTTTCTTAATTCACTTTTTGTTTGGGTTTCTTTCAAATCTCAAGTCTTATAGCAGCCATGTCTTTAGGATTTTTGAAAGTTTAATGAAAAAATATTGTACTGAATTGGAAACTGCAAAGGTTGTATGTGAAATAGGATAGAAAGTTATTTTGTATACAGAAAGCTGACATTACCTTGCTTCACGGTATGGTGAGTGTGGTGAGAAGGCATAGGACAGTATATGGATTATAGTGTATCTGTCAATAGTTGGTTTCACTTAATTCCCTTGATTTTACAGGCTTGCTTATGGGGCTTTTTACTGATTTTTTTTTTCCTGTTTACTTGTGCTCATTTTAACAGGAAAAAGTATCCAGCCTTCTGTATTTAGTCACAGAATGAGTTTTTATCAATTTCAGCTGTTATTGTAAAATTCAGAATTTAAATTCAGAGAAGCAGTTTAATATGAAAACAGGTTATATACAATGCTTCTACTTATTCAGTAATAAAACATTCTACATTATATAAACTATTCTGGTTTAGACATTTGATTATGTGACTGCTAAAAGCGAGGAATCTTTATAAGTGCCCTTTCTTGTGACATTTTTTATTTTTTATAATATATGCTGCCAGTTCATTGCAGAACTCTTCATTACCAGTTGAGTTCTGAGGTTGGTAGTTGTGACAGCATGCCCAGGGAATAGTGCTGACATGCATATGCTTTCAGAAAGTGCTTTTGTTCCAGTTCTGACAATGAAAACTGGTACCAGAGTTGTGGTGAAAGGGAGATATTAATCGTGCTAGGAGAACAGAAGGAGAGGGAAAGACAGGCATGTGAACAAGTGGACTTAATAAAAGAAGTCTGATAAAGAAACAAAGGACTGGAAAAGGAACAACTGCTGGTTTGATTTGCAAGAATGTAAAAGACAACCTGCAGCAAGGGATGCAATAAGTAACTGGTGATAGAGACCGCTGTATCTACTTAGGTATACATTTCATAGATATATATTACATATATATATGTATATATATACACACACGTATATATAGACATGGGCCTGAGTGCTACCCCTGGGCAGGATTATTGCTGTCAAAAACCCAACTTTATTTCAGAGCTGTTACAAGCTTGTCACAAGTGACAAATGCCAGTGAACATGCAATGTTTTGTAAATCATTCATCTCTATACTTTTTTCCTTCATTTCTAGCACAAGTATAAAAAAAATAAAAATGGAAGAGAGTAAGAAAAAGAAGAAACCAGAAGAGCAAGTTCAAGAGCCTGAACCAGATTTACCAGAAGCCTTACTAGAATATCAGTAGGTTTAATATATTTTAACTTTTCACTCATATAGAATATGTGAATGAAGGAATCAGATAACAAAGAAAACTTACACAATTTAGAGCCTGAGCTGATTGTTTTGAGGCTATTTCAGAAAGGTACAGTTTTTAAACGGTATCTGTAAGAAAGCAATTCAATGGGTCAGAAATTTTATGCCATTAGGCTATAACTCGGGGAAAAAAATTATTAAAACCAAAAAATCCTCTCATTTTTTCTGTTAGTAACAAGCTTTTGATCAGCATATGCTGAAGTTGCAAGATCACATTTGACTGTATTTTTTAGGATTCCTTGGTGTTCGCGGAGGTTTGTTGTCACTAGCCAGAACCTCAAGACCTACAGTCTTCCTTGGTGCAGCTGAGAGCAGAGCACAAAGTGTTTTATTTTGAAAGTAAGAGATGGATAAATTAAAATCAAAACAGAGAAAAAATAAGAGCCAAGGGGGAAATATCTGAAGCAGTTACATACCAGTCCAACTTATTTGATTTCTAGTCTCTTGAGTTACTGATTAAAACTAGAAAAAGCAAGGTTCATGACTTTTATCTAAGAGACAGAAATTGAAAGGGAAATGCTCAGGAACACCCAATATCCAACAATTACCAGTGTTTAGGGAGCAAGGAGTAGTGCCTTGGTGTGGAAATGAAAATTGGAGTAAGCAAACTGAAAAGTATGCTCCTATAGTTGTAGTGACATCTATATGAGTTCACAGGGTTTATGTGGGATTTTCTGTTTCATTTTGCAGAGCCCAGAGTACAATTTTCAATGGTGAAATAACCTAGACTTAGGTGAATCATATCACAAACAAATACCATCTGAAAAGTCCAAAACTAACTCACCTATTTTGTGAAGGAATAAGGAAACTGTATAACTGAGCTGAGAAAAAAAAAAGGTGCCACTTTATGATAAAATTATTATTATGCATATGCAAATATCAAAGCAAATGACTCATTTGTCTAAAGAGTCTTCCACTGAAATAAGTGCTTCACTGAAAGGGAATATGTAGTTTCTACAGCAACAGTAGAGGAAAAAGGGAAGAAAAGTATTCTTCTTGCTGTTTTTATCTTTTTCACTCTTCTCTGTCCCTCTTGCTCTCCTTTTCTTTCTCTTCACCTCTGTAATCTGTAACTTCTCTGTACCACTTGACTGCTCAAACGTGGATAATCATACAAGTGAATAGCTGTTACATTCCACTTTAGGATTTATCAAGTATGTAGTATTTATTTAACTTCATTCCTGTTTTTTATTTCCATGCACTGAAAAATGGTCACTGTTCCTAGGGAGTTTGTTATTTTGCATTTTCATTAAAATTCTCAGTTTCAGCATTTCTTAGGAACAACAACCTTATGATGACCCCCTCACCCCCATATCTCTGGTCTAGTCTCTCTCTAACTAATATCTTTCTACTTAATAGAAAGCCTGAAGAATACCTTGGAGCACACTGACACCAGAGGATGCAAATGTAGTAACCTGCAATTTGCATGATTCAGTGATCCAAACTTAGCAAATTAACCAGGAAAAATACTATCTTCTTTTTAAATAGCTTAAGGCAATAGGGAAGGGGAAAAACTCCCAAAACCACAAAAAAGCATCCAAAACCCCCAAACTAAAAACTGAAGGAAGAAGAACTGTTAAAACAACAAAAGGCTTTGTAATAATTGTAATACTTGCCTCTAATGTGCCATATGATGAATGAATGATGGAAACAGAGGTACATACTGCTGAGAATTTTTCAGATAGACACCATTTGCAGCCTAGTGTTTCTCATTCTAGAAGAGAGAACACCAGAAAGAAATATTTATTTTATAGCTGTGGTAAAGAGGTTGACGAGTAGCCTATGAAAATGTGAAATCAGTGAGCTAGTTCTTTGACAAAAAAATACAAACAGAACATACTACTTAGGCTAGAGTCCCCTATTCCCTTATTTCTTCTTCAAGGCTAACAAAAGTAGTTTATGAAGCTTAACAAAGCACATTATCAGAAGAATTGAATCACATTTCATTCTCCAGTTTGGGATTCATTTGACCTATGTGTGAGTGAGTTCCCTAGGCTTTCTCTATAGCTAGTGATGAGTAATATTTTCTGGAGAATAAATTATCTTGTCCTGAAAGTGACCTGTGTAACTGGTCAGCTAAACCTCATGCAGAATGAACAAACCAGCTCCAGCCTCTCAGGAGGCTTCACAGGAACAGTATAACCAGGGAGTCTGCTGCTCTGTAAGGGTATGAAATCCTGACTAATGTGCAGGCCCAGATGTATATGGGAAATAATTTCTTTGTGTGTAGTAAGCAGGCAGTGGTATTTGCCCAAATGAGTCAAGCAATATGATATGAAAATAAACATTTTGGTAGTATTTACATCTAATCTATCTTAAATAGCATTCCTTTCTCTATTTTATTTCTAAGAATGTCTCTTTCTTTACTCTCTCTTCATAGCATTGTAGCAAAAGAAGCAGCAATTGAACGGGTTTTGTTTCATCTGAAAGGACTGGAAGAAAAGATCAAAGAAAATCTTAAAAAAGTAAGTGAATATGCAAAAATTTTTATCTGTGGTATTCTTACTCACAGATTCAGTTTTATTCTTTCCATTCTAATACTACATACATTAAAATTAGTTATTGCAGTGAATTTGTTACAGTCAATGAAACTAGAGTTAGTGAGTCACTTTATGTGCTGAAAGTTAAAGTGTTACCTGAACTAAATGTGACATATGGCATAAATGTCCTAACTATAACATGCTAAAAAGAAGCTGCAGGAGTAGAACATTACTGAATATGACAGAGCAGTAAGGTAATGTGAGTTCAGTGCAGGTGCTTTCCAATTCACAAGAGATCTTTATAACCACCTTCGTATGTCATGGACTCACAGAATCGTTAAGGATGGGAAAGACTTCTCAGATCATCATGTCCAACCGTTTAACCCAGCACTACTGTGTTCATCACTAAACCAGTTCCACAAGTGCCACAACCACATATCTTCTGAACACTTCCAGGGATAGTGACTCCACCATTTTCCTAGGCAACATGTTCTAATGCCTCACCACCTTTTCTGTGAAGAAATTTTCCCTAATATCAAATCTAAATCTGTCACAATTTCCTTTTCCTCTTGCCCTGTTACTTATTACCTGGGAGGAGAGACCAACCTTCACATGGCTATAGTTGTTCCAGATGGTTGTAGAGAGTGATAAGGTGCCACCTGAGCCTCCTTTTCTCCAGACTAAATAACCTCAGCTGCTCCACATCAGACTTGTACTCTAGTCCTTTTATCTACTTTGTTGCCCTTCTTTGGCATCTTTCTCTGCAGCAAGCACAGGACAGTAAGCCCTCTTTCAGTAGGCACCTTTTCTGCAGATAGGCCTTTTAACCAGTCCTACACATATTCTTCAGTATTTCAATGCATGAAGAATAAACGGTATAAGTTTCATTTTTGTCAGTAGTATTGGCAGACCTAACCAAGCACTGAGAATTGCTGACCTTCTTTGAATCACTTCTGAAGTAATGGAATCGCACAGGTTTCTGTGAGAATCTAGTTATTGCTGCAAACTTAGTTACAATAAAAGCTGAATAAAGGAGAAAGACCATCATGCTATTTACTAGCTGCAATTTCTAGTACTGATCGATGACAACACACTTTCTCATGGATAAAGAATTGTTTTGGGTAATTTTTGGAACAAGGTTGTGTAACTACTGATCGCACCTGAGTGACACTTTAAAGAACCATGCATATGAGCTGTATATAAATAGCCATAATATGGCATCTGATAACTGTGAGCAGGAACTTTGAAAATAGTTATTAGAGAGTCACCTTTTGAAATTAATTGAAAGTGCTCAAAAATCCTTATTCTGGATCATGTTGCAGCCTGTACTTCATAGCAGTGAAACATTGAAACAACGTCTCTCTGTCTTTCCTGTGCTGATGCTTGCCCTGCTTTTGTAAGCATCCTTCTGTTTAGCTTTCTGTGGTACTTCTTTCAGTCTTGAAGCCTGGATGGTGTTTCATTTGTGGCTTGACTATCACTGGAAGTGGCAATTGCTCTTCTTTCTGCAGGTATCTGAAGGCTTTTAGGATTATTGTTGTATTTTATGTCTCTTGTGGTTATACTGCTGGATCAGAGGGCGGTTTGACTGCCTTGTTCAGGGACACAGAGCAACAGCATAAGGGAGACCCCTCAGTGACTTCCCCCACTTTGTGACCCCTCAGTGGGTCTCCCCAGTTTGAGTGTGTTACTGATGGCCAGTACCCGTGAAGGACTCATACTGACAGTTTATGGAATAATGTTCTTTATTAACATAAAGTTATGACAGATTCAGTGACAGTATCTCCTTGCAAAAACATATTCAAAGCAAAGCACAGACAAGCTCTAATCCCCAAAGAAAGTATTCAGTGTCTCATGATTTTTCTGTATGAAGATGGTACGTTCTCATGAAGAATGTTGACATGAAGCAAATAGCTCCTACATATAAATATTGTTATTAAATTATCCACAAACACCTTTCTTTCCAGGCAATGGAGGATTATTGGTGTGCTGTACCAAGTACAGCTGTCATTTGTCTCTCATTTCCTTCCAGTGGTCTTGAACTTACTGAGGAAATGTCTGAACCTTACAAATTCTCCCTTCTGCTCTAACCTTTCAGAATATGAAGAACAGGTGTTTAGCTCAGTGTTCTTGTATTTTATCTGGCACATAGACCAGATTTTACTTTTTTTACTAGAATTTGTCACTTTGAAAACATTTTAATATCGGCTGTGTCTTCTTTCTTAGAATGTTGTTCTGAAGGAAGAGCAGAAGGTGCTTATCAGGCGCTTAGTAAGGCAAATAGAAGAAAAGGAGAAAAAACGAGATGAGCAGAAGGTTGTAACCAGAGAAGATGTGGAGGAGTCACTGAAAGCAGTTTTTCAGCTTGTGAAGGACAAAGAACAACTTCTTCAAGGTATGTTGTGAGTTAGGGAAGTGTGTTTGCAGTTTACACACTTGGGATTGAGTATGTGTTGCTGTTTTGCAATTTAAGTAGAGATTCAACTTCTTTGTTGTATAAAAAATATAAAACTTTTCCTCTCCCAAAATTGGGGTCTCTCAATTTAGTGTAAGATTGTGGAGGCCTTATAAATCAATCTGTCCCTTCTAAGTGAGGTATAGTATTGTGCAAGTACAGAGGCTTCCTCTTTTTGGAAACTCATGAAAGTCCTAAGCACTGGCTCTACTAAAGATTAAAATAAAATTATTGATGGCAGGAAAAAAGACCAGTGTTGAAAATTCTGGCTGCCATCCCTGCAGTTCTCTGTGGGAGACGTGTTGTTACAACATTTTGGCTAGAATTGTTGTCTCTCCTTGGAAGAATAAGATCAAGCTGTTTTCAGCAATGATGGTGGCCCTTGAAACTGTGTAGGGCCATCAGGTTGTAATGTACTGTAGTGTGGAAGAATCCCCCTTCATTTTCCAGTCCCTGTGAAAGCACCTTTCCTGAAGAAGTTGACATTGTAAGAATTATAAGTTCAAGAAATCGGTAATGAACTTTGACATTCTTATTTTAATAGATCTGCGCTCCCAAATTGAAGAAACTAAGAAGAAAATTTCAGAAAAGCAGCGTGAGAGAGATTATTGGTTGGAATACAAAAATGTTGGAAGTAAAATACATGCTGAGAGGATTAGCAGTCTGGAAAAAGAAACTGTGGAAGTCAAATGTGAACTTGAAAGAACTGAAGGTCAGTTTATAGGTGGTGTAATACAAGTCTTACAGGGTCTTTGCATATTGCTTGCAGGAATTAAATGATAAAATTAATTTTAGGTCAAGTTCAAGTACCTTGTTTGAACTTTTCTAGTAATTTGCATGAATTTTTCTAAGTACACCTAAGACACCTAAGATGGGCTGCATAATCCTGAAAAATATAATC